AAAGTTCGAATCGGAATCAGAATCGGGGAATCGGAATTGGAATCTCGGTTGCCAGCAGCATTTGCATTGGGATCTCCCGGCTCTCGAGGTAGACATACCGATGATCGTCTGCTATTTTAATTGAGTTCACAAATGTTCTCAACCGCGAGACCCATTCACAGCTGGCGGTCACCGGTGCCCCCTTCTAACGCTGACAGCTACGTGCTGGGCAGCTCCAACTCCGATGCCCCAGTGACCCCCGGGAGGGAGTCGGGTGCCGAGTGCCTCCTAGATGGTTAGTTAGTTGGTCGGAAATCAAAGCAGTTTGATTATTCAATGTTTTCACAGCGTTTTGTGGGAAATGAATACATCATCGCAGCCCCAGGCCACCGATCCCCAAGACCCCATACCCTTGGCTCTTTCTGACTCTTTGGGTAAGGCTCTAATTAAAAACTGCCTCCAACAGGTGTGTGCCGGAAAGAGAAAGAGTGGCTGAGACAGAGAGGGGCGAGATGGGAGACTCTAATCCATCAAGCCATTTTGGTTTTATGTTGATTCATTGATTAGCCATGAGCTTTCTATTGTTTCGGTTGCTGTTCTATTATAGCTTTGACTCCAGCGACCCGATTCCTATTCCTATTCATTCATTGCCTTGTTGCTGAGGCCATGATTCAAATTGATAAAGTTAATTGGTTGCTTCTAACGGACTTTAAATCCCATAATCACTTTACTTTACTTGACTACTTGATCTGATATATGCCTTCAAATATTTGTTTACATTGCTGTCTATATTATGATTAAATAGTTTTTCAAGCAACCCTTATTTACATTCCAAAATCGTTTCATTCACTTTACTGCTTTTGATCCAATATTCCTAGACCTCCTTTGTTTCCCTCCAAAAACATCAAGTAAAGCATTGAAAATTGGTTTTATAGACCAGTCCCCGACTAGACTTATTTCCAGGCTGATCCGCTCCAGAAGATATCACATCCGCACATCCCTCTGAATTTCCCAGCAAACACTTGCCCGAGTTCCTGAGCGCTGCTACCTGGGTCTGGTAGCTACCATTGTTAACTCCCGACCCTCTCTACCTGTGTCAATGTCAGACTGAGCGCTAAATTGTCGCTTATTAAATGTCTCTCGTCCCGCCGACGACGACGAGCCACTTTATCAAAACTGAGAACTGAGGACTGATCCGGCCAGGAGGAGGAGGCGGCGGCGGCGGAGGAGATTGTGACGATAGAGGACCGAATTCCGAATTCCACGTAACCGAGCGTGTCCGTCCGGATTCCGTGTCGTCTGTCGTCGGCCGAAAATTATGACTTGTTTTGGGATTGGTGTGCAAATAGCCCACTTCCTGTCTGTCTCCGTTTCCCTTTTCTTGCTGTCGCGCAGACGCAAAGCGCTCTGATTGCTGTCGCCGTCGTTGTTGTCATCGTCACGGCCCGCCGATGTCCCCGCTGATAAGAAGAGCTACGAACACGGCGGGGAACATTTATTTATGCACTACTGTCTACTGTCTTTGTTTCCCCCCGATCATGGTCCGTACTCCCACTCTAGATCCCTATCCCACTCCAAATCCCCCACTGCAGCTCCCGATTGCTGCCTCTTTTGTGCTGCTGCTGCTTCTGTTTTTTGTTTAGACATTAAATGAGTTATGGTGTTATCCTTGGAAGTAAAAGTACCCCAGGGTAGCCACTAATATTTTTAATTTCAATGGAATTCATCAGTTTAAGATTGAAATACTGAAAAGCACGTATTTGATATGTTTTGGGTCATAAAATTCCTACATCTGGCGAGCTTACTTTTTTTTTTTTGGGTACCCAAAAATTCCCAACCAATATCCATGGCAATTGATGCGGTTTCTCGGTGTGCTACCGATGTCTTTAGTGCGATAAGCCGGAGATCTACGTGCCTGAGATTCTCGCCTCCTTACCCTCTCGATTAACCTTTTTTTTCTGTGGGCGTGGCAGTGTTCAGACGGAGAACATATGTGATCACATTACGTTGGCGGCTTGTAATGCGCTTCCGTTTTCGGTTGCGGCTTCTTCTATCTTCGCTGGATTCTTCATCTACTTCAGCATCATTTGTCTTTCTTCTTTTTTTTTCTTCTTGGTTTAGTTTGTGAAGCTAATTTACCTTTTTTGATGCAAAGACCATGCCGCTCGGAAAGAGATGACTCCCAATCCCAAATCCGAATCGGAATCCGGACCAATTCGGCCTGCAATTACACTTCCGCTAAAGGGAAAATCACAAGAAAAACGTAAAAAAAAATGTGAAGACCCCCATTCATGCCGTCTCAGGCTCAGCTTCAGTCTCAGTCTCAGTCTCAGTCTCTGTGTCAGTCTCAAAACCCAGGCTCATTCACAAGACTCGGAGTCGAGCCGAGGCGAGTTCAACCATTCATTCATTCACGTTGATTGCCACCTTTGGGGCTTCAAGCCGCTCCTCTCTGCCCCCAAACTGCCCGCCTGCCCTACGGCCGCCTCTTGTGCTCCAATGATTAGTCTGTGCTAATGAACAGGCGGCGGCGGCTACCTAGCAAAAAAAAAAATATATATATAATAAAATAAAAAAAAGCCCATGAAGACCAAAAAGCACCGAAAAAAGAGCGAGACAAAGCTGCACGAAAGCGGCAAACAAACAGAAATCAAATCCAATTTATGTTTTCAACATTAATCATAATTTCTGGGGTCCATTCGGCTTGGCGTGAAATGATTTTTATGCGCCGTTTTTACGGAACCAAAATCCGTTTCGTCGGAATCTGAATCCAAATCTAAATCCCAATCGAAATCGAAATCCAAATCGCTCGCGAGGGGAAAAGGTGTCAATGTCTATGTCTAATTTTGATGGGAAATGCACTCGGGCATGCGTTCTGCTATTCTCATTATGACTGTGAGATCTGGTTTAATGTGAGATATGGGAAATATGGCTGGGAAACTAGATTAGTGGATCAGTATTAATCGAGTGCGAGAATCGATCTCTCAATCGTTTTGGCCATGAAATTTGAGCGCAACGAATAGGGGGAATTATGGCAAGACCTAAATGGAATATAGAATGCCATATGCTATACTATAACTTTAACTTAGTTGAGTGATTGAAGTGATCATTAGTTTTACGGGTTAATCAAGAGGACATAAAGACTTGATTAAAAGACATCGACGAACTTAGAGCCCCTTACATAGCAACCCAATTATCTTGCTTAATGCTAAACCTATTCAAATGGTTTCATTATACCTAGATTAACCTAGGCAGAGGACCTGTTCTGGCCAAGTTTCAAATCGGTAGCCCCGTCGAGGCCACCAGGGAACACAGAACTCGTGGGCGGGGGCCATCAATGGGGTGATCTGGAGAGAGAACCTTCGTGGGCCACTTGAAAAGCAATTTTTTGAAATTTATTTTCCATTTATCGCTTTATTTATTTTCTACCTTCGTTCAGTGTGGCCCGTTCTCATCCTCTCGTTCTCATTCACCTGGTCTATCTGCTTATGCGATTAGAGTGCAGCAAAGGAGCTCGGCAAGATGACGATGTGGATGTGGATTGGGATTTGGAATGGGAATTGGGCATGGGTATGGGAATTCGAATGGAGACGATGACGTTGATGATGATGATGATGGTGCTGCTCTCCGGTGTGTTTATTTTTGTTTGGACCCAGAGACCTTTTTGTTTGTCTGCACTTTCGATGGATAACGAAGAACCAAGAGCCCCGGCAAGCGATGCACGAAGAATAAGGGAGAGGGAGAGGGGAGGAGCGCAAAAGGAACTCCGTCTCAATGGGCCACAATCGAAAGTAATAATGAAATCCCATCAACAACAAGACAAAGGCTCTGCCGACGTCGCTGCGAAGGCCTCTGCCCAGTGACCATTCTCATTCCCATTCTCGGTCCCATCCTCATCCTCATCCCATTCCCATTCTCGCTGCCCAGTCCCTGTCCTGGCCTGGCCCTTCCCTTTAGAATGAGACAACGACGACACTTGCCTTGATTTTTATTGTTGGGCTTTTCCCCCTGCCGTTGATTTATAGTTAGCGCAGGAAAATGGGAATAGTGAGTTTCGTTACCAGCCAAGAGCAACATGCGAGACAGCAAGAGGCGTTCGTTACCAGCCAGGATCAGCATGTGCAACACTTGCACTCCCTCCTCCTCTCTCAACCGCTCTTCGCTGATCTTGTTCTCCCAGCAGCTGCCTGTTGCATTCCGCTCTCTCTCACCTTTTGCCAATGGCAACAAAAATATGCGTGCCGAGTACAGGTCAACCCGGCTAAGACGAACTGGTTCAGAGTATGGAATTTAAAATGGATAACCCATTCAATTAGAGATGCCAACTAATGGCGGACCTGTTGCATTTTAAGTAATACAAAATCTGTACAGCTTCAACTTTTATGTTTCAATATAGAATTTGCCAAAGAAGTTTGAAATTGCTAAAGAGGCACCACTGTATTTGTGCACGCCTCTCCCTCTTTTGGCTCTCCTCCTCTCTCCATTTTGACTTTTCTATTCTGGTGCTCAGTCGTAGACAGTTCATTAATGTTATCAACGAGTGGAAAGGGGGAAATGAAGGATGGTCTTCCAATGGGGGAGAGCCGCTCACTACTCCCCCCGCCACCCATGACAGGTTTGAGATGCTTGGCTGTTTTCTGGTTTATGCTCGTGATAAATTTGATGTGCAGCACTTGCTCTGCCTGTCGCTGTTGTTGTTGTTACATCGTTTTGGGGGCATCGCTGCTGACACATAAAGTAACGGCAGTAGGCAATCGGCAATCGGCGCAATTGGCAATTGGCCATCGGCCATCGGCCAACGATCGCCGGCGGACGACAGTTGGTCACCTGGCGGCCCAAAAAAGGACATAACCACCAAGCACAGCCACAAACCTGTCAACTGGAATCGATCGATATGGCAGTGGCTGCGTTTAAGGAAGAGTAAGGGGGCCCGGGGTCTGGGTCTTACGGACATTTACGGACTCAACTGACCAGCTGAACTACTTTCCAGACAAGACACCTTTACCGTTACGCACACTCACCTGCAATTGCAGCGATTTTCAGTGATTTCCAGCGTTTTGCGATTTCCAAAGGGCGAAATAGGGAAAGTCCTCTCCTTCTCTCTCTCTCTCTCCCTTTGCAGCGCTAAACAAACGGTAAATACTTCAATTAGATTTTGATCACTTGGCGCGGCGGCATTCTTGCGATTTTTCTCATATAAAAAAAAACAGTGACAAAACGAAGTAACGTAAAAAAAACAAAGTAAAAGAAGGCAGCCCAAATAAAATAAACCTATTAAAATGTTATAGCATTTTCAAAGCCTTTCGAACACAAACACACACATGAGAACGAACGGAAAAAAAAGAAAATCACAGAGATTGGCATAGCTTTAAATTGAATTTCGTGGCTCTTAGTCACATCCGCCGTTATTTGATCTTCGATCTACGGTTTCGGCATCCCTGAATACGAAAATTTCATTTCATTCACGATATTCGACAAACATTTACCCGAATTATGGATGTTGATGTTCCGCCGGACCGTATAATTTATTGTTATTGGGTGTTTGCGGGACGACGCTTCTTTTAGCCGGTTGCCGTTTTAAAAATAAAAACAAACTTGGCACACGCACTTTTCACGCTCTCTCGCTGCGGGATTTTGTTTTGTCCCGTTTTTGCTTTCCTCTTCGTTTTGGGCTCAAAAGTAGGGATCTAAATAACACTCACTGGGTTTTGAAACAGTCGAAAAAAAGGTAAATAAATATTAAGTTAGTTAACACGACGAGGGCGCCAAAAGCCGATGGTTTATTCCAATTTTCCTTATTTCTTATTTCTTTCACACGACTTTCTTGCTCGGCGGCGCGAAGCGAAGTGAGCAGAAAGCAGCGGCCGATAGGCCAGCTCGCAGTGCTGCCAGGTGTGGCGAGCGCACTAGCTAGATTCTGAGTAGAAAAAAGCTGGAATAAGATTTATATATAAGCTACACCCAAATGCTATAAAAATAAATAATTGATGTCTTGAATTTGTTTAAAATAATCTAAATTGTTTATATATAAGACGATTTCGTGACCAAGAAGGTCATATAAATCTAAGCTTTTGTTGTTTTGTCAAGCAGGCAGAATTTTTTCTAGCATGTTCTGTGTAATCCATATTTAACCATAAAAACTATATATATTTAAATAAATAATAATTAACAAATAAGCTCTTCCATTCTAGACCTAGCTAGAAAACAGCTAAACTGGAAACACTCACCGCGTGCGGCCGCACGAGGCGGAGCCGAAGCAGAGCCGAAGTACGAACGACCGCCAGAAGCTGCGCGAGTGGCTCTCTCCGACTATCTCCTTCTCTCTCGCTCTGTGGCAAGTCCTGTGAAATCCCACTCCAAGCCCCAAAAGCAAACACGTGCCAAAATTGTTGTTGATTTCTTTTTAATATATCTTCTGCTTGTTGCGTTTGTTGCTTTTTATCCACTCAACAGTTTTCGTTCGTTCACAATAGTTGCATTCATAGTTGGTTTTTTTTTTTATCATTAAATGGTATCAATTGATATTTTAATTAATAACGTGAGTGTGTGTGTGTTCCGATTTTACACTGGGGAAAGGTTTTCACAAAACAAATAATAATAATAAAAAAAAAAAAACAGAGTCATAGTTATAGTTACAAGCTAGGAAACTAAAAATATAAAATATAAAATGCCTTCAACTATTGAGCATTTATTGCTTTTGTTGGTGTTCTTTGCTGTTGTTATTGTGGTTGCAAGTTGGCTAGTATGCGTTGTTGTTGTTGTTCTTCGAGTTAGTTAGTTAGTTGTTTAATCCTAGGCTTTATCTGCATTATGTATTTGTATTATTCAGCATTATCTGCATTATTGTTTCTGTTTCGTTTCACGTAAAAAAAAAAACAGGTGTGCGTGTGTATTTTTTTTGTGATATTCGCTTGTTCCTTGCTAACAATCTTTAACTTAGACTTAAGGATCGAAGAAGCATTCAATTTAGTGGTAGAAGTGTTCGTTTCTCTCTTTTTTTTTTGGTTTCCATATCTGTACGCCATAAAATATTTAATTTTTTTGTTGTTTTTGCTTGGGCTTATCCTCGTATGTTGTATATATAAAAATGGTTTCTTTTTGTTAATGTTATTTAATTAAAAAGCTAATTTCGGTTGCTGGTTGTGTCCTCAGACGACTGGCGGTTCGGTTCCTCCCAGGAGCTCTTCGTGACTGGTTTTGAAAAATATATGAAAAGAAAATAATAGGGGAAAAATGAGGAAAATTATAAATATAAAGTCATATAATATATATAAAAATACATATATAAATTATAAATAAATTAAGGAAAATAATACTTTCAAGAAAAAATAAATAATATAAACGGAAATGTATGGTAATAAACAATGTTGTAAAAATCTACATTAGATAAGTGAAGATTAAACGCCTTCCTAAATAAAACTGTTGTTTAATAAATATAAGGTAAAAAATAAATATAACAGTCATTCTCAAAAGAATTCACTAAGAGTAAGCTAAATAGTCCCTAATTACTCGTATTTAGTTTTGGGAAAAACATGATAAGCCAGTGTTGGTTAAAAGCCTCGCTAAGCTGCAATATCAGACTTTGTCTCAACGCGAAGAACTTTAATTTCTCCATCATTCGTTACTTAGATACATACATATATAGACCGACCAGATTATAAATATTTCTAATTTAATAGTATCCTTTTTTATATTTAAAGGATAATTAAGGATAGTACGTTTCAGAATGTAGGGTTATTAAATTGGGAACGCTTTTCAAATCTCAAAACTTGATAAAAACAATGATTTATTGAGATCAGATAAAAGAATTCAAAGCTATAGCTATGGGAAACGCACTGGACTTCAGGGTTACAGCAGAATCAGAGTGGGTCTAGTTAAGCACAAGTTCCTATAGTTCATATAGACCGAGTGTTATCAGATATGTATATCTGTGTATACATTTATAGCTTTCAAGTGGTGTGCCCTGAGCTTGGCTTCGAAACGAGAACAATCCAACTAGAAGTGGCTTAGACTAGTTAAGATCTGTAACAATACCGTACAATATTTCTGGTGCTACCTAATTGACTATAAAAAAAAAATGTTCGAGCTTATAGGATAGCTTAAATCTAGACGGATTATCTATCTTCGTTTATGTGGCTGGCGGCTCTAACTATACTTTGTATAATATAACATGATATTCTGCGATGATATGGCACGATAATTCCAATTGTAACACTCCCAAAGGTATATGAATTGATATATATAATTATAATATGATATAATTATATGATATAATTTCCGCGGCTATGACACTTTTGCTTGGAATTGGAATTTGGAAATAATAAAGCTGAACTTGTCTGGATTAATATTCAGTTTGAAACTATATATGTTCTAATTCGACTAGCTAAGTTATCGGATATTATAATAATATATTATATAATACTGTCTAGCTCCTAGGCTTCCTCGATCTCCAAAAGTGTCATAACCGCATTTTCTTTTTAGAGGATTAACAAATATGGAACCAAGACATCCTTGTATCGATATCGATTATTGATCATATCTGTTCAAGGATTATTTGGATATGGAACCAAGACATCCTTATATCGATATCGATTATTGATCAGTTCCACATCCGTTTACAAGTTAAGGGATAGGAGGGGGTTTCCCTAGAGACTCTGCTCAATCAGGTTTGATATCGATTCCTAAACCGATCTCCGATTAAACAGGCCTAGCTGGGAGCGGGCAGCAAAAGCCCTATCGATGGGCCCAGGTATAGTAATATTGATACGGATAATGACAACGATAGCGCCCGACTGGCGATTAACTTGGGACGCGGATAGAAGATATGCACCGGCGGCGGCTGATCGAGCTCATCAAAGAAGCCAGCCTCGCTGGAGTCCCTTGGGTCCCAGGCCGTGTCCAAATCCACATCGATGTCGTCACCGATCTCTTGGTAGACGAGGCTAGAGGGATGCCACAGACTAAACCAAGGCAGGTGGGGATTAGAGTCAGGGGCATAGCCAACAAGGAGGCAGGCTGGAAAAGGGATAACTGAAAAATACTTACGCGGGACAGACATTGACATTGGCTCCATTGACGGCGGCTGGACTCAGGTTGATCTGGCCCACGGTCTCGCCCTCGACGACCACAATGCAGCCGGTGAAGTTTTGCGTGTAGCGGTTGCCCGTGAACCGAGCAATGTCCGGAATGCCACCTTTAAGTCAAACGGAAAGTCAAAAAAGGACCAAAAAGAGGGGGAGCAAAAAAAAAAAAACACCCACCGATAAACACATTGCCCGGCAGCTTCATCTTCTTCACCAGAGTGGGTCGCGTCTCGCCCGAGTGCAGAATGCGATCCACTTCCAACATGGCTGTGTTGTCCACCCGCTTGGCAATCACAATATGCCGAGCTCCGTCATTGACAAGGGTATCGCTATTGCGTATAACCGCCTCCTCGCCATCCAACCTCAGGGAGTACTCCACATAGCCATCGACAATGCCCACGGCCAGATAATCCTGGCCGGTGTACTCTTCGCCGGCCTTTTGGCCCCACCAGACCAGCAAGCCATTGGACTTGGTGGTGGTAAAGACAATGGCCACAGAGCTGTACTCCTGCTCAATGGCGGGATCAAACTGAGTGCGATTGATCTCCACGTAGCCATCGCCCCGGAAGGAGGCATTGAAGCCCACTTGAATATCTGGATTAGGATTCAAGGATTAATTTTAGGTCTCTGCATTAAAAACTCTATTAAACTTACGCTCCTGGCAGTATTTGCCACTAAAGCCCAGGGGACAGGAGCAAATGGCTTGCTGCTCCTCCTCCCGACAGCTGCCGCCATTCTCGCAGGGATCACTGGCGCAGGGTGCCATTGCATATGGCTGCAGTTCATCTCCATCGCGGTGGTGATCTGGTATCTCAGGCAATGGCGGTGGCATGGGCTCGCTATCGCTATCGCTGTCACTGTCCCCGTTGCCGCCACCAATCTCGTTCAGCTCGCCGCAGTTCTGGATATTCGCCGCATCCTTGATGTCCGCCAGCAGCTGAATGGATCGCTGCGAATCGTATAGCCGAGTGATGCAGCCATCGAAGCCTTTGGTGATGTTTACATCCCGGTTAATCTTCACCGTCGATCGATCGTAGCCGCCCACAAACAGTGGCGTCTTCAGTGACAGGATGCGTCCTGAGCCCGGAGCCTTGGCCTTGCGCTCTGGGGCATCGCCCACCCGCAGGATGCTCTCGCCCAGGCGCCGCAGCAGCTCAATGCGAGTCCAGCGGTGGAGAGGCAGTGGTTCTGCCGAACGCACTACCACCGGCTCCAGACGGGCGGCTGTGTTGATCAGCAGTTCTACATGACCGCCGCGGAGCACCAGCGCCAGATAATCGCCGCTGGGCAGGCTCGATTCGGCCGCATACAAGAGCACAGAGTCACCCAGGCTGGATGGACGCACGGAGAGCGTTATGTTGACGCGCGTGACCCTTGGCGTTCCATAGGCCGCATAGCTGTTGTTCTTGAAATTAAGACTGGACTCGCTCAGGTGCTCGATGTACTGGCAACGATCGCCGGTCCGGTTCAGTGGGCACAGGCACTCCATGTCCTGCTCGGTGTTCTCACAGCGTCCGGCACCGCACACGCCCGGCGTGCACTGGGCACCGCGGGCGGAGCAATCCCTGCCCGTCCACCCAGGCTGGCAGACGCAAGTGTAGGCCTGCTCTGTCTGACTCTCTAGGCAGACGCCATCGTTGGCACAGGGGCGCTCGGCACAGGGCCGGCAATCGGTGATGCCCTCCTTGAACTTGGCCTCGCGCATCAGCTCCACGGTGCGTCCTTGGAGAGTCAGCCGGCTGATGCAGCCCACGAATCCGGTTTGCTGGGACACCGCCTCCGCTGGGAGCAGCTCCCAGTTGGGCACGCCGCCAATGTACAAATCCTCAATAAGATCCAGCTGCGGCACTTGGAGTAGAGCTGGGAAGGCCACCGGATGCTGTTCATCCACCTGGATGTAACCATCGCGACGGGAACGATGCACGCGCACTGTATGCCACTCGTTGAGGGCCAAAGGCTCCTCGGCACGAACCAGCAGGGGTTTACCGCCGAAATCAAAGCGGAACTCCGCATAGCGATCCTTCAGGGAGAGGGCTATGTAGTCTCCAGTGCCACGGGTTTGCCCGTTGAAGAGCAACAGCCCATCAGCACTCTCCGGGCGGAAGGTAAGCTCGAAGTTGAACTTGAATGAGGAGTCGGGAAGGGTGGGGAAGCTCATGTAGCTGCGCGGTTCCTGGCGGAACTGGGGTATGGCGCCGGTGACCACCAGGATGTTGGGGTAGTCCACCGTCTCGCCATCGCCATAAACGGCGGTGCAAATGTAGGTTCCAGCATCATTGGCCTGGACACTGTCCAGGTTGAGCTTCTCCTGCAAAAAACAAAAAAAAAAGGTTAATGATTATAGACAAAAAGCTTCCCAGGACAAGACTTACATTGGCCAGACTGCGTCCGGCTTGGAGTTGTCCATACTGACGCCACCAGCGGTATGTTGGCTGGCGGCTCTCGTCGGCACCGCATTGCAGCTGGGCATTGCCTCCGACCTTGGCATGGACAATCTTGGAGCTCTTGAGCTCATGCGGCTGATCCTCCACCTCCAGGACGTAGCTGGTGGTATAGAGATCTCCCTGGTCGGTCCTGCACTTGCACACATAGTTGCCGGCATCGGTGGGATCCACATGACTGATCACCAGGCGGTTGCCCGCTTGCTGTAAATTCGAGATCCTCGTAATCTTGGAAAAACTTGAACTTGGTGGAGAGGATACTCACTCTCACGTTATTGCTGAGCGGTTGTCCGTCCGCCCGCTCCCAGACCACATCCGTGTAGGTGTCATCGGAGGAGTAGCACTCCACTTCAGTGGACTCGCCGACGCGCAGATTTGAGGATTGCTGGTCCAGTTTCAGGCTATAGTCCCGCGGACGCTCCTCTGGCGGGTCCAGACGAGCCGGTGGCAGGTAGTCGGGATAGTGGGGCACCGGTGGAGGCACGGGGCCGACCGCTGCAGGATACACCGACACCGGGACACACACAGAGACAGACGGCAACGGACGAAGGACGAAGGATGGTCGGCGGAACGTTCACAATTCAGCGACAATTTACAAGTGCAAGGTGCATGTATATATGTGTGGCGTATGTGGGTGTGTAGGGTGTGTGTATAGTGTGTGTTTGTAGTGTGTTTTTGTAGTGAGCCATGGAAATGGGAATAAGATAGTAAAAAATACATAGAGAGAGAAAAACAGTTAGCAAAATTACATGTCAAAAAGTGTGGTTTCAAACAGAGAAATGGCGATACTTATCGAAATAATCGATGTATTCACGATTTTTGTCATCGATCAAAAGTTACAAATTAACAAAATATCGATGTACTTATCGAAATAATCGATTTAGTTTCGATTTTTGTCATGGATCAAAAGTTAACAATTAACAACAACAAAATCGATATAATTTCGAATCCATATCGCACTTGGTTTTGTTTTAGTTTTATTTTCGTTTTTTTTTTTTTTTGAATTTGGTTTCCTAGTTAGACAATACATAAAGATATATGATATACATAGAGAGACAGAAAGAGAGAGAGCGACAAAGAGGGGACTAGGTGGTGAGATTGGGGGGACTACTTGATGGAGCTACATTTACTCAATACTTCTACGGATCGAATCACACAGAATACACGCATTAATGTGGGGTTACGAATGGTTTCGTTTAGATTGGTATTTTTAACTCGTATTTATTTCGATGTTTTTTTTTTTAATTTTTTTGATTTTTCTTTGAATTCTACAAATCTAATTGGGATTTGGGTTACCACTATAATTTCGCAGATGTTTCATTTCCGGTTTGTTGATCACAAAAATACACATACAAAGGTATTTGCTACAGTTATCGATATATATATATATATATATATATTATACAAAAAGGCGATTACTATCTATCGTTTATCGGGTGACTGTGTGCGAGCATGTGTATGTGTGTGTGTGTGTGAATGTTCTGTGTTATATACAATAATTTTAAGAGATTCTAGACTTAGTTACAAGCTATAGTTAGTAACACATCGTAGCCATAGCCTGGCGCATGCAGATCATATTTATATATATACATATAGCCGAAACCTGAAGAATGCTGCAAAAGTATCTAGGTTATACGATCGATCGATGGCTGATCGTTTGGTTATCGTTTATCGTTACTTTTTGGGGTTACTTTCATCTCGTTTACGGTTACGTCTTAAGCTACTTGAAACCCATCGAGTGCGTGCGCCGTTGCTTCTGGATTGCATCCTTATGGAGCTTTGTAATTGGTGCTGTTTGTTGTTGATCGATTATCGCTGGTCGGTTATCGGTATATCGATAAGCCCTTATCCTTTGAGTGCCAATTGCAATCGTTTCAACTCTACGATTTTGTGCACCCACGAGCATTAAGGGGAGAATTAGACAGCGAAGGATGGAGAGAAAGAGTGGGAAATAGGAAATATTGAAAAGGAAAAGAGGATGGCAAGGATAGGTAGGAGAGGGATGGAAGATACTAAAAGAACTGGTACAGTTGAGTTCAAGTAAAAAAAGGAAATGGAATAAGGGTTACAGCTGGTTGGAGTTGAGATCAATTGATGGGGAACAGAAAGGTGAGAGGAACAGGACAAAAAGAGGTACAGTTGAGTTAAGGATCATAAACCATAAAGGGGGAGAGAGAGGGAGAGCAGGAGAGTACGCTTGCAGTGCTGGGGTGTAGAGACAGAAAACTTGGGACCAACCGCTGCCCTTCAGCTCCGTGAGATGCCGCTTCCTGATCCTGTTCCTTTGGCCATCTTCTCCACTTGTTGTCCTGTGGCTCCTGCCGAGATCCTTCTTCCAGCGCTTGAAACTGCCGCCCGCCGACGACTTGCCCCTGCTTCCGGCTATGCAGTTGAACTCGTCCGAGTGATCCGTACAGTCGTAGATTCCATCGCACACCATTCCCGCCCGGATGCAGGTGTGCGGATGCGAGACGCACTTGAAGTCGCTGGGCTGGCACGCATATGCAGCGACGGTCGATGGGGGCACTGGACGCACTGCAGCCGATCCGGAGGTCAAGTGCTTGGGGGGCGCGAGCTTGCCGCTTTTGAAGTCTGCTTACATTTCGGTATTATTTTTTTTTTGTTTTTAGCGATATATATTTCGGTTTTTAAACGGTAGGTTTCAGTATAATGAGTTTTGTTTTGTAATTAATTTGTATTATTTCCATTATTATAAATATTTGTGGTATTTTTTGAGGAAATACACAAAATAAAAAAATTAGCCAAGAATATGCAGCCTCACATTCAGCACTAAAAGCCCATCGGTTGGAAGTTAGTACCTCAACCTGGCTATAAAGTATATGTACAGGATGGGTATAAAAAAACCAAGGGGGGGGGTCTAGCCTAAACCCAGGTAACACTACGTAAGTTACTGATCTCCACACACACACATGCTGGAGGTTGGAGACTGGAGACTAGAGGAGAGTGCTCTTTTAATAAAATCACGGATTATAGATTAGTGGATTTTGGGTTTTTTGGTTCATGGAGGGTTGTGTTTTTTTTTTTATAAAAATTGACCGTAGAGGTTTTTTTTTATGTGTATTATTTCGGATTTTCTTTTTTTTTTTTATAAAACTTCTATTGCTCTAGGGGTTAGGCAGTAGTATGTTACATAATACAAATTTCTCAAGATCATTAGATTAATACAAAACAAATGCAAAACGAAAACAGAAATTATAATAATAATATAAAAAATAATGAACGAAAAAAAATAATAATAATAAACAAAAAATTTTAAAAACAAAAAGAATGTAAGGATATACGATAAATTTGTGTTTATAAGGAAGGCTCGCTGCGATTTCTAGATTCGATTGGGCGGCTGGGGATGTGGTAACACACCTGTACAGATAAACAGAAACATGCAGGGCATATCTTTGGGGCTGTGGCCCTTGAACGGGTTCGGGTTGTATCCTAGTTTTATACATTTTTAATAATATGTTTTAATATATTTTGGTTGATTTTTTGTTTTCGATATTTTTTATTCGTGGTTTGTTGGTGGTTCGATTGTTGAGGCGTTGATTTATCGTTGAATTGATTGATTTATCGATCGGTTTATCGAGTTGCATTGTGTTGCAGTTGCATGCCATACCATTAAATTTGTTTGTGTTTTGTTTTTTTTCATATAAGGACAGTGTTTTTTCAAGTCAAGTCAAATCAAAGGTAAATTTAAAAATATATATTTCAACAAGCGCACATGTAAGAAAGTGGGAGAGAGAGAGAGAGAGAGAAAAGCGTGAGAGAGAAAGAAATAAATTATGAGTTTTAATTAATGTGTTTGTTCCATTTGCAAAAAATTAAAACAAAAACATCTCGTAACATCTCTGCGAAAGCTATATGTATATAGACCTCGGATTCTGGAGTCTGGAAGACCTCTCACTGACTGCTGACTGTTTGACTGATTTTAACTGATTCAAAAGGACAAAATTAAGAGTGTTTGAAATTATTATTTACAGTTACGTTGGTGCTGTTCTCTTTTGTATTTCTTATTTTTTTTCAGTGCAATTCAGGTGATGAGAGTGGAGTGTAGAGTGTAGAGTGTAGAGTGTAGAGTGTAGAGTATAGTATAACACAGAGTTGAAAATATGTAAACAAAAGAGAGAGGTAGAGCTTGTGCAGTGACTTATCTTAGTTAATTAACTTTCGTCATTGATTTACACTTTTATTTGTACACAAAAACACAAACAAACAGTAGACAATAGTATAACCCATAACCATAAAGGAGAACTAAATCTAACAGGTACTTAATACCCTGTAAAGATACAGTATCTCTCTGTTGAGATGGGGACAGCCGACACCAACAAAAGCTTGTTAATAAAAAAAAAAACATAAGCAACATAAAAAGAAGACGAGCCTCGGAAAACCGAAGCTTGAAATACCCTTGCAGTTTGCCTTAATATACTATTTAGAAATAATATTATTTTAAATTAAATTAAGTCAAATCGGATCAACACTTTAATACATATTTATATATATATAATTCAGTTGTTAGATTTTAGGAAAATAATATATATGTGGCACTAGGAATTTCTAATAAATAAATAAATTGATTAATAAAAAAATAAATTTAATTAATTAAAAAATAAAATTAATTCAATATGTATATTTCATTTGGTCACTGCAAGGGCCTTTGAAAGTAAATAAAAAGAATATATTACAATTTTTTGCTTCACACAGTTTCGCTGTGCAAGTTTTTAATGTTAATTTTATGTTTTATTTCTCACTTAGGTGTATCGTATTAGCAATGTTTATGTTGTTTTTTTTTCTCTGGCAGCCATTTTTTGGTTAATCTTAAGGTTTATCAAGTTTCAAAAGAATATTGGTTTTCGTAAATATATATATATTTTTGCAGAGCTTAAAATTCTAGAATTTCGAAAAAATATATAAAACGTTATGCAAAAGAGAATTTGGAATTGGGACTTTGACTTTGCATGCATATATATATCTACATATATATAGGTTAACACGATCGGGAGCCGAGTTTCGTTTGTGACTTCTTCACCAAAGTGTGTCTTGTGTGTAAAGTATTTGGCAATGATCGATATATTATCGATATATATATATATCGCTTTTGGTTATATACAGAGTGTTTGTGTGTGTGTGAACCCGGAAAACCCTGCTCCCTACAGTGCGGGACATACATACATAGACATAGAGTTTGTTTTTTGTTCAAAATGACAATTTCCGTTTGCATATTTACAGGTTTCTTTTTGTTTGGTTTTTGTTGATTTTTTTTTGTTGATTTCCTCTGCCTAATTAGCTTGTTTTTCGGCCGGTTTTAAGCTTAGGTTAACAAATACAAGTACATTGATGTGAATTGTTTTTATATATATAGGCGTATTCAAGTATATATAGTATATATAGGTGTGTGTTTATATATATAGAGTGGTGAATTAGTAAAATCAGCGAACGATCAAACCTGCTTAAACAAAGCCTAAAGTCTGGGGAAATTCCTTTCAAACTTTTTCTGAAGTTTTTCTTGTTTATCCTCTTTTTTTTTGTTTTTAAAATTTAAGAATTATAAATTTTAAAAATTTTAAAATTTTAAACTTAAAAAATTTAAAAATTTAAAATTTTAAAATTTTATTATTTAAGCATTTATATTTTCTTTGGGTTTGATTTAATTTTTTGGGCTGGCCTAACAGGGGCTAAACAAAGCCTAGTCTGGAAAATTCCTTTCAAACTTTTTTGTCTTTTAAAATTTATCCTCTTTTCTGTCGTTTTGTAATATTTAAATATTTATATATATTTTTTTTTTGAGTTTTAATTTTCGATTTTTGGGGGCTGTGGTGGTCGGGATTCGGTTTTTTTGCCTCATCTTATTTTTATATATTTTTTTTTTCATAATTTTTAATTTTTAAAGGGTTCGATAGAGGGGGACAGAGAGAGAAAGAGATGGGAGATGGGGGCGCACTTTCGCCTGGAGCCTGACTGCGGGGGGTGGGGAGAAACCGGGGACCCAACACCGCCAAGGATTACTCACTTATAACTTTCAAATCAACGGAGCTAGATGGCAGGTTGCGTCCTCTGGCCATATCGTACTGATCGCAGATGTAGCGACCCTCGTCCTCCGGCCGTAGCTGGGTAAGGATCAGCACTTGGCTGTCCGGGCGGGCATTGTGCGGCAGCTCGCCGCCTTCGCGATGCCAACGGAACTGGAAAATGGCCAAGAATAATTACAAAAAGATCTCAAGTAGAGTAGTATAAAATCTGCTCACCTGGGTATTGACATTCACCTCGACGCCGTACTGCGAGGTGGCCGTGCAGCGCAGCTGAATGCTATCGCCCTCGCGGGCCTGGGTCACCTGCGACTGGGGCAGCGGCTGGTAGTATGGTGGCTTCACCTGCACCTGGGCAGTCTCGGTGCGATTGCCATAGCTATTGGAGGCCGTGCATCGATAGCCACCGGCATCAGCTGGGGTGATGGCATCAAAACGCAGCACATTGCCGTCAATGCGTACAGAGCTGGCGGGGATTTCATCAAGGTTTTAAATGGTATAAAAATCAAGGTTTAATATTGATAGTTACCTGGGCAGTGGGCGACCGTTGTCGGTGCTCCAGTAGACATCCTCGGGACGTGCATTTGTCACCTGACAGTATATGTCCACGTTGCGTCCGGCCTCAACCCTCAGCGGTATCTTCGGGTAGAAGCTAATCTGGGGCAGGGGCAGCTGTACCAATTCCCGCACCACAAAGGAGACCACATGACCGGCGGGATTCACACCGCTGCAGCGATACTGTCCCAAATTCTCCTCCTGAACGTACACGATCACCAGGCTGTTGCGTATAATGTGGGCATTGCTAGGCAATGGAGTGCCATCGACACGCTCCCAGCGTGGATTCAGCTGGGCGGAAATGCCGCAGGTGAGGGTCACATTGTCGCCGATATTCGTCTGTAGCTGATCCATGCGGGGTGGGGGCTGAAGCTGTCCAGGATCCAGTCCCTGATTATGGCCATCGTCGTCGTCATCTAGGAAAAAAAAAGAGATAACAATGAGAGACAAGTGGAAGATGTATTTATCCGAAAAACTCTTACGTATTCCCACATCGCCGCGCTTGGGATTGACCTCAACACGGACGCTGCGCTCATCGGTGCTCACATCGTTGGAGCCCTTGCAGGTGTAGATACCAGCATCGGCCTGGGTAACACGATACACAAGGATCTCGGCCTGGTTTTGCCTGCCGAGTGATTCAACCGCATTGTGGGCATGTGGAACTGTTGAAGTCCAGGTCACATAGGGATCGGGATAGCCGCTGCCCACACACTCCAGATGCAGTTCATCGCCTTCGGTGAGACGAATGTGGTCACCGGAAGGAGTGATCACCACCAGCGGTGCCTCCACAACGCTTATGGTGGCAACGCCAGAGGCCTCGCCCACCTCGTTTCTGGCACGGCATTCGTAGTCACCGGCATCGTCCATCATAATGTCAGAGAACCTGAAGGAGTAAATAGTATTTAATATAGAAAAGAATCTTTTAAGCAGGATCTACACTCATAAAAATATTTTTCTAAATAAAAAACAAATCGTCCTAAAACTAAGAACATTTTTCTAGAATTAAGAAAAAGTTTCCAAGGATTTAAGGCTTTATTTTCCCCAGATTTATGAGGTTTTTTCTGATTTTCTTTGTTCAGTTTCTTCCTTAATGACACCAGGGCGAAGTCGCCCTAAAATTTGGTGCGACACATACCGTACGTGTTTGCTTATGATTCCCAACTGGTTTTAGGGCGATTTTAGGTAAACATTTTTATGAGTGTATCGAGTGTTGATGGGATTACTTACACAACATAGCCGCGACCTTCAACGCGGTGACGAGCGGATAGCGGCTTGCCATCAACGCGCACCCACTCCACGGTCGGCTCGGGTATGCCAGTGGCTGTGCAATAGAGCGACGCCTGGGCACCCACCAAGGCGGTCTGGATGGGTTCGGATTCTATCTTAATGCTCGGCCGCTCCCGAGCTGCAAACAAGCAAACGATGGTGGTGGCACCGATTAGTATAAGGATCAGATTGTGCGGACCTGTCTTATTACCGACTCCACTCTTGTGCACTAAGTGTGTGTTTTTTGTTTGTTTTTTTTTTTTAATTAAAATTAATGGTTCATGGGGGGTCCAGGGTTTAGGATTTGATAGAAATAAAATTTTTTTAGAAAGAAAACCAGTGTATTTAAGGGGAAGAAAGAGAGACAACAAGACGAGAGACGAGAGAGCAAAGTTATGGTTAGCTGGGGATCTTTTGCTCGTCAAAGAGAAAAAAAGAGATTAAGAGAGAGAAAGTTACGGGGCTTAGGGTCAGCTGAGGTCAGGGGAGGTCACAGAAGCTTACGGCCAGAGTTAAGGGGATCATTCCATGTAATGTACTTTTTTTTATGAGTTTTTAGGATGATTTAAGGTTTGTTTTTTAAAGGATTTATTACGAATTTTTTATAAAGTTTTCTTAATTTATTTATAACTTGTTTTTTAGACTTTTATTTCGTGAAATGACTCCCTGAAATCCTCTGAAATAGATCCCTTAACCCTCTGCAAAAGCGACCTCCCTTTGACCACAACTAGCCAGACATAGCTAGACAAAAAGCTATGTCTATATCGTACAGTTATGGGTTATATTTCAGCTACCGGACCTCTGACCACTTACGTTCAATGTCGATAATCGTGCTGGACTGATCAGAGCCATGGATGTTCTCGGCTATGCAGGAGTAGGGACCGCGGTTCTCGGGACGCGCTGCATAAATGGTGAGGACATTGCCGCTGACATGGACATTGTTGGCCATCTGGTCATGGACCTTGGTCCATTTCACAGAGGGACGCGGTGAGCCGCTGGCCTCACAGGTGACGCTCAAATCGCGACCCTGCTCCACCACAATCAGCTCCTCTAAGGGCACAATCACGGCACCGACCCTATGGATATAAATAAAATATAAAAATATAAAAAAATAATCAAATACAGATCCTGGCATCCTGGTGGCAACTCACCCATCGACACTGGGCGGCTGGTGACGCGGTTCAATATAGACACGGGCATCGGCAGTAAAGTTGCGACGAGTGCGCGGATCAAAGGCCACACAGGTGTAGGTGCCAGAGTCGCGATCGCTGGCATCCAGCACCTCCAGGGAGTTGCCATTGATGTAGATGTTGCGCGAAGCGGAGGCGGTCAGTGGGTAACCCTCGTGGGACCACTCGTACCTTAGGTTGGCCGCACTTGTGGTCTGGCAGGTGAGCCGGAAGGACTCGCCGGGCTGGCCATTATGCTCCTCCGGCTGGATGTAGAGACGATCTCGCGGTGGACTCGGCGGCGGAGTACTGCTCTGGACATACACCTGGACATATTTCTCGTCGCGGTTAAGGTTGTTCTCCGCCTGGCAGCGGTAGCGACCCTCGTCGGATTTTCGTGGCGAATCAAAGATCAGACTGTTGCCATAGGTCCGGGAGTGGGCATCCACCTGGCCATCGATGCGCGTCCAGGTGACCGTGGGCTTGGGATTGCCCTCCACCTCGCAAACAATATCATTCTGCTGGTATTCCTCAAAGGTAACATGGTTGGGCAGGTTAACAATCTGGGCGGGTCGGCGTTGGCTTTCAGCTGTGTGTGGGGGGGGGATAAGTATATATAAAAAATAATTTAAACCCTCTAAAGCCACTTTAAAATATTAAAAAAATATTTAAACGTAAAAAAAGAATTGTGAAAAAAGTAATTAGTGCCTTAAGGCACTTTTGGGGCTTAGAGGGTTAAGGGTCTCAAAAAAAAAAAAGGAAAGAGTGGTAAATCTAAGCTTGAAATACCATAGCGTGCCAGCATTTCCTTGGCATATCCTTCGTTAAGCGTAGGCATTTTTATAAATTATTTTTAATTGTTAATCTTACAGATTAAAAAAATTAAAGAAAACAATAAATGCTAAAACTCACTGGTAATGGTAATGGAGATGCGATCCTCAAACAGATTCTCGGTGTCATTGCTGACGGCACGGCAAATGTAAGTGCCAGAATCATCGATCTTCAGGTTGTACAAATGCAGCGTTCCTCCACGAACCTCGGACTCCTGGGTCATGTGGCCGCTCTCCTTGTGCCAGCTCACATAGACAGGATCCTAACAATACCAAAAATTAATTTAACCCATTACAAAACCCCTTTAAGTATCCAATACTCACATTATTCCTGCGCATGTAGCCGCTACAGCTGAGGGTCAGCGATCCTCCCACAGGCACAATGGTGATCTCAGGCTTGGAAATGGACACAATAATCTGGCTGAAGTCATTATCAGTCGGGGTTGGAGCTATGCCATTGTCTAAAGTACAAAAAGTTTTGGATTAGGACAGGGCTTTCGGTTAACCAAGAATGTTCCCAAATAATACACAAATCCTTACGGCTTGGGTAAGGCCTTGTTTTTGGTAAGGTGTTAGTGACAGGTGGTTGCGGTTTAATGACACCTATATATTGGGAGGGGGTACGACGAGATCGGCACTACTATCGGGTCTGGAGTTGCCTCCGGTTGACCCTCAGGGGGTGGGGGAGGGGGTTTGAGGTTAAAAAGACACAAGGATAGTGCGCTTTTTGGCAAGGCAACTTGGTATTCTTTTTCAACTACTATATTTTTTTTATTTACACAAAATTTGTTTAAGATATTAAATTGGATTTATATTTCATATATTATATATATAGTTTATTGCTTAATTTATTTAAAACTTTGTCGGCCAGTGTAGTAGGAGACATGGGGTTAGTACTGAAAAAGGGGTTACCTTCTTCGTTCTGACCTAAAGTCTGAACCTTTTGCAGTGAAACGCACTGTAAGATACTAAGGGGACACAGTGAACAGAGTCTCGGGTTAGTTCGCTACGAGTAATGGTAGATTCCTCTGGGCCAATTGTCCTTGGCTTTCGTTGATCGCAGGACAAGATATAACAGATAATATACACACAGAGACAGAGAACGAAGAAGACTACGCCGGCAACAACAACTACTTGAGTGAGACAAGTACTAAGACACATGGTGACAGACTAGCTAGGTTTAGATCACCGAAAGATCACAGATATATAATATATAATATACGTAGAGAGATAGAAGGAGAGAGGGAGAAGGAGAAGACAGGAGCTATCCCAGTTACAGCAAATCTTCTCTACACTTTTGTGGTTTTTAGACACAGAGCTCTACACAAAAATCTAAGCTGGAGAAGTACTTTTAGGAGAGAGTTTTAAGGGGTTGTGCTAATTTTTTCTTTTTTTTTTTTTTTGGTATAGGTGATTGTGTGAGAGACAGAAAGCTACGGTAGGCGGCATTGTGACCACTTCGATGGAGCGAACCTCGGCAGCGGTAGCTCAGCTTGGTTATATTTCCTATGTTTCTGTTGTTCTTATACAATTGCAGCGTGTCATTATACGAGATTGTCTCGTTCTCCGCGATATTCAACTGATAGTCTGAGCGAATTTCACATTTCTTGGGCGGATCTTCAATTATGGGCGATGTGTCTAGAATGTGGATGGATGGGAGGATGTTTGTTTGTTGTTGGTGATTGCAAATTCAGATTCAATTTGTTTGGTTTTTGATTTGATTTCATATTTTCGATATCGAATTTTAATTAGTTTTCAGAGTCGATGATGAGGGTGGAGGGGGAGAAGAGGAGGCGTAGGAGGAATGACAAAAACAAAAGTCCGAGAGAAAGGAGAAAGTAAATAAAAGAGGTAAGAACTGAATGATCGGTAGGCACCGATCATGCGATGCCATCTGCTCAGAATCGCTCTTTGCTCAAGGTCAAACCCAATTACTATAAAATCTTTTTCACTTATCTCTTACCAAAGCATTTGAAAGTTTGTATGATAACTTTTCAGGTTGATAAAGTCTGTCATACCAAAATGTTCGGCTGAAGCTACTATAGTTCCCGAGTTATGGATTTTTGTATTCATTGTTATTACCAAAGCATTCCAAACTTTTTCCTTAGGTTGTTAAAGACGGACATTTCAAAGGGGTTTGGTTATGGGTACTATAGTTCCCGAGTTACTAAATATTTTATTACTTTGTTACTAACAAATAACTTCAAATTTTATAAGATCACTCCTTGGGCTAAGAGAGTTAAGCATACCAGAAAGTTCGGCTGTAACCTTTACAGATCCCAAATGAATGAATCTTAAAGTGACCTGGTCTTCACCGGCGACCTCTGAGCGGGCATGAGAGCGCATATATATAGACTATGGGGGATAGGAGAGGCTTCCCTCCGCCTGTTACATACATCTACACGACTACAGCATACCCCGCAACGCTATTCGGAGAGAGTATATGCCCTGTAGCTGGTGCGAGTATGTAGGAGGAGCTGGGCGAGGGGGCCACTGTGTGTGTGAGCGTAGGTATAGTGGGGAGAGCGGTGTGTGGATGTGTGGATAATGTAGGGTCAGTGTAGAGGGTGTACATCTCCACTTACCGATCTCGCGACAGAGGTCGCCCTTCCAGCGCGGCTTGCACTTGCACTGCACATATCCGCTGGCTCCCAATCCGCAGGACTCGCTGTTGGCGGCCTCGCAGGGACACTGACGGCATACTCCGGACGCGTCGCGATAATGCAGCGGGGCACAGACCTCGCAGGAGTTGCCCGTGTAGGCGGGCGGGCACTGGCACACCTCAATGTCGGCGGCATGAATGGCACCGGGCATGGCCACGGACACCGCTGTCTCCAGGATAATGTCACCAATCGAAGTACGCTCGGTGGGCACCTTGGGCGTGGCGCGGATCAGGATAGCTTCCAGGTTGGACAGAACCGACATAAAGTCGGAACGGGAGGCGGGACGTGCCGAGCCGCGATCCTTGCGCTGCCAGTTCTCGTCCTCGTGCAGGCGGACACTGTATGCCTCGGCCTCGGAATCCCCGTCGCTGCGCGACCATATCAGCTTCAAGCCATTGCCGCTAAGGATCACATCGTAACCGGGCTGGTAGGTGCCGTAGGACTCCACCACTAGGCGGTACTGAAGGAGGCCGCCGTAGGCGAGCAGCTGGTTGCCCAGCAGGCTGCCGCGCAGACTCCAGTACTTGGGCAGGTAGGTGAGATGCGAGTAGGTGTACATATTGGTGGCCAGGTCATGTCTCAGATCCTGCGACACATCGCCCTCGATGTCGCCGTTCTCGTCGGTCAGCAGCGGCGGCGTCAGAATAAAGTCCACCGGTATCTGTTGACGGTACAGCTTGGCGGAGCTACACTGGGTGCCCAGGCCGGAGCAGTAGCACTCCTTGCAGCCGTCGGGATTGCGTCCAGACAGACCGTAGGTGCCTGGACGACACTGATCGCACTGATCACCCATCACATTGGGCTTGCACTGGCAGTAGCCATCGGGACAGGTCTGGGTGCCATCCTCATGGCACCACCTGCTGCAGTCGGTCTGGTTTCCAGGTGGCGGACGCGGCGGCTGCGGATAGATGCTAGTGTCCGGTTCACAGTCGTAGGGAGTGCCGCGCGTGGCATCGCCCACATAGCCGGCGGCGCAGCGATCACAATTGGGTCCATCGGTATTGTCGGCACAATTCTCACACTCGCCCGTCTCGCCATGGCACTGGCTGGAGTGACCATTGCACTCGCAGGGCACACACAGACCCAGGTAGAGTCCAGAGTCCTGGTCACGCTTGAAGCCGGGGGCGCAGGTCTCGCAGGAGAGTCCCAGGTAGCCCTGGGGGCAGCGGCACTGCTCCACCTCAAAGGCACGCGGAGTGCCCACATTCGTGGTGGTGGCCGTGTCCAAAGTTACCTGACGCAAGGATCCCTCCTTGGTGCTGGTCGTGTAGGTGGCCTTGATGTAAATGGCCTTGATGTCGCTGAGGGCCATCAGGACGTGCTCCCTATTGGCAAACTGGCCGTCGCTGCGCTGCCAGGCGCTTTCCTTGATCTCCACCGCATAGGTGTTGGCCGCACTGGGACTCACCTGGGATTTGCGGTAGTGGATGAGCATCAGATTCTCGCCACTCTTAATGACCACATCGGGTGCGCTGTTCCGGGACATGATACCACTGGGCAGGGGACTGTAGCTGAGGGTGTAGCTAAGCTTGCCTCCATAGGCGGTCAGCTTGTTGCCCAGGAAAACCGCTGGCAAACTCCAGTATAAGGTGTCACCACCATGATCCGCCGATCCGCTAAAGCTCAGCTCACTGTGCACCTCCGAGAAGGCTACCGGCAACGCCTCGGGATTCGGGCGGGTGTAGTCATTGACCAGCTCAAAGCCATGGTTCACGCGGTTGTGGAAGGAACCAAAGGTGCTGGACACCTGGTCGCGGTACCAGGAACTGCTGCTGCAATCCACCTGGAGGCCACTGCAGAAGCACTCCATGCAGCCGGTGTAGGTGAAGGAGTTCAGGTGGAAGCTCTGCGCCCTGCAGCTGTCGCACTTGTCGCCGGTTACCATGTCCTTGCAGTGGCAACTGCCATCGGGATTAATGCTCAGAGTGCCATCAACATTGCAAGTCGAGTCGGGGATCCTGCGGCAACTGCCTCCGGGCACCAGAGGATCACCCTGGTATCCAGACGCACAGCTCTCGCAGCGCTTGCCCGTGTAGCCCTCGTGGCAGGAGCAGAGCACATCACCATCCGGATTCAGTTGGCAGCCGCTGGCAAAGTTGTTGCTGCCGCCATGCGGGCATGGGCACTCCTTGCAGGCCACACCGCGTCGCGGATCGCCGTAGGTGCCCGCCGGGCAGGGCTCGGGAGTAAACGGCACACAGTGTCCCAGCCAGGGTCCACCAGGCTGGCGTACATAGCCGGGGGCACAGGTCTCACAGCTGTCGCCAATGTAACCAGGCGGGCAGGTGCACATCTCCACGAGGGAGGCACTGCCCAGACCCTTGTCCGCGGATCCAGCCGAGTCCAAGGCAATGTTAATCAGATCCACCTCGCGGGCAGTGCTGTCCAGGTAGCCCAGCCGGATGAGTATGTTGTCCACATTGGCCAGAATCATCATGATCTCCTCGCGCGTGGCCCGGCGACCGTCGGGCTTCTGCCAGTCGCCCGGCAGGAAGGGAATGCTCACCTTGTTGTTCTGACCCGGCTGGGTGCGTGCCCGGTGGGTGAGGGTGAAGCGATTGCCGGTGATGATCACATCCGGTCCGTTAATGGGTCGTCCATTGCCCATGTAGTTCACCTCGTATCGGAGATTACCTCCATAGGATTTCAGCTGGTTACCCATATACTCCGTGGGCAAAGCCAGGTAGGGTGTCTCCCGACCACCAAAGTGGACATTCGAAGCCCGGAATTGGACACCATGATGCAGGGTCAAAAGATCTTGTCCAGGAGCCGCCTCATTGATCACAATCTGGCGATGGGGACTTAGCTCCACGCTAACCACGCGATGCGACAGGATTGGGGGTTGAATGGCGTAGGTAAAGAGATTGGCGCTATCGCAGGAGGTGGCCACGCCAAAGCAGAAGCACTTGACGCACTCGTCTGCCTTCCTGGCCAGCATGTTGAAGAACCCAGCCTCGCACACATCGGTCCTCTGCTGCGTCACCGTCACAATGGTGTCGGGAGTGACGAAGGTGGTGCCCCGGGTGTTGATGATCTCGCAGGAGTAGGCACCGCTATCGCCGCGCCTCATGTCCGGACAGTGGAGGGTACCGGTGCCGCCGAAACTCTTGGACTCGCACTTTTCGGGCACATGACCCCAGTTGAGGCGCCACACAATCGTCGGCGTTGGAGTGCCAGTGGCCACGCAGGTCAGGTCTAGGGATTCGCCCTCCAGGAGGTTCTTGACCGGTGGGGGTGGACGGATGGGCAGCGGGGCAACTGTTTAGGATAAGTGGGGTTACATTACAGAGGATCTTGGCGAGAAGGAGAGGGGTTTTGTGTCTACTTACTGCAACCCACTTCATCGCTGCCATCCTTGCAATCGGAAACGTCGTCGCACTGGAAGCTCTTCGGGATGCAGTGGCCGCTGCGGCACTGGAACTCGCTATACCGGCAGGGGGAACCACTTGGCTCTGGGTCACACGTGGCCTCGTCGGAATTGTCACCGCAATCGTTTTCGCCATCGCAGCGCCAGGTGCGATCAATGCACTTGGAGTTGGAGCACATGAACTGGTTGGGCTGGCACTTCCTGCCCTGGCTGCAGCTCTGCTCGTCCGATCCGTCCGAGCAGTGGGGGATGCCGTCGCAGATGCCGGACTTGTCGATGCACTCGTTGTTCATGCAGGTGGCCTGGTACTCGTTGCAGGCTGATGAGGGACGGGCAGCCAGTTCGTTGTCTGTGGGAGAAGGCATTAAGTGATATTGGATTAAAAATCAATTATTAAATTAAAAATCAATTATTAAATTAAAAATCAATTATTAAATATTATACATTAAAATATTAAATATATATATTAAATCAATAAAATTAAATTAAATCAAAAACCAGATCAAGTATCTTACCATTCCACAGCCAAGGTTGGCATTTGTTTAAGAAATAGAGAAAAAGTAATTAATTAATTCTACACAAAAAAAAACCATCCAGGTCACAGGTGATCATGATCACCCACAGGACGGATTGTTAAGGAAGCTCCTACCTAGGCCAAAGAACTCGAGACCAATGTGCGGCACCGTGCCATAGCGTATGCGGTTGGATCGCAGCTCCTCGTACTTGTGCTCTCCCCAGGCTGCTTGCATAAACCACAAATGTCTTAAATATATCTTATAATTATATATCGTATATATATATCTCATATATATCTTATATATATGTATACATATCTTAAATATCTAAAATTATTTTTAAAATGAAAGGGAACTTTTTTATTAATTTTAGAAAAAAATCAAATGTTTCAAAACCGAATATTCATTCCACAGGGATATTAGAACCAGTTGGGAATTATACTGCACACGTGTAAGATTTTTCGGCTCAAATTGTTTAATTTGAGATAAATATACAAATTAAATTAAATATTTTTTTTTTACTTTAGAGTTGTCTTGTCTTGATTTTAATGTGCCTTTCCTTAAATTCATGGAAACGTTTACTAATTCTAAGCAAAGAAAAAGTTTAGGAAAAAAACTAAAAAACATTTTCTAAATTAAAAAAAAGTTGTTTAATTTTAGAATTAATTTCTCGAATTAAGAAAAAGTTTCTTAGTTTTAAATTTATTCTAGAATTAAAAAAAAAAAGTTTTTTAGTTCTAGAATTAATTTCTGAAACTTAAAAATACTTTATTTTTAGGCGATTTTTTAGATATAAAAAATTATATATTTCAAAAAGTGTAAGGACTCATACTCACAGCGTTCGACATTAAGGTTGACAGTGACCTGCTGTCCGGTAGTGTAGCTGGGATAGCCCACAGCCTCGCACACATAGGTGCCGGCGTCCTCAACCTGCACAAATAATTCAAAACATATATAGTGCATTTAGTTTCCAATTTAAATTAAGAGCTACTCACGCGTATATTGGGTATCTCCAGGCGGCCATTGCGATCCGTGAAGCCGGGCGGCAGGGGACGACCACCGGGACGCGACCACTTGACCTTGGCACGGGCAGGACCTTCGTCTCGGCAACGGAAGATCACCTCGCGACCTGGCAGGTGAAGCCAGAAAAAGGAGTAAGTAAAGCGCCAAATTCAGGGCAAAAAAAGAAAGACGAGCTAAGATATAGGGCAGTAGGAGTAGGCTTTTGTGGGAACAAGACTTTACGGGGGGGATACAAGGCTAAAATCGTATAAAACATTTAAATACAACTTCAATACAGTTGGGGATGTGTATCGAAAGCAACAAGAAAAATATATCGAACTCTAAATAATATCGAAAATAGTATATAGTTTGGTGTATCGAAACATTTTAATAGAATTTAACCACAACACAACAGTTAGAAATGTTTGATTTATCGAAAAATATCGATTGCATTGGAAATCTGTAATTAATTTTTTTTAACGAATGTATTTAAAGCTTTAATAAAACTAAAGCTTGTGATTACCCCTTTATACTTTATATGTTTACCTCAAAAATTAAATGTTTAAATTAAAATGTAGGCCCAGTTCGATATATCAAAAAGAATATCGATTTATCGCAAGTTCACAGCCCAGATATATCGATATTCTCTATTATTCCTAACTACTTTAGCTTGAGGCTATCTCAGACCAAACAGGGACTGGTGGGTTTTAAAAAATTTCGACAGAATATACAACTCCACTCCGAGCCAATGGATCGTGCATTTTTTTTTGCTTTTTCTTGGTGCTGGTTTGGTGCTGGGGACTGACTTCCAGGTGCTGGTCGAGTATTCTCTCTGTACTACGGAATGCATAATTGTGTGCAGTGACTTGTAGTTAGGCCAACTTACCCTCCCTAATATATCCTGCGGTTTATTTTTATTTTATTATTGGTTTTTTTTTGTTCATTAAAATAATTGGGTTGTTAAGCATTAACGAGAACAAAGAACGGCAATTAGGGTTGTCGAAGAACATAACGGTGTCATGTCTTTGTTTTGCTTAATATTTTTTTTAGTTGGGAGAAAAACAAAGGCAGTGTGCGGCTGAATACTTACTCTCCTTGATGATCTGGCTGTCGGGATAGGTCTTGAGATTCAGCACGGTTGATGATCCGCGAGTTCCTTGGTTGTGATCGGAGGCTGTGGAGGAAATAACAACCAACATGGTCATTAGTATCTCTCAGATACTGTATCTTGAACTTATTGCTAGTGTTATGAGAGTGATTTCTAGATACGACTCTTGTGTGTGTGGTGGTAGCCATAGCCCCGGGGTCGCAGTTAGTAGCTACATTTTTGGAGGGGAGAGAGAGAGAAAGAGTTATTGGGGGGCTTTCTCCTTCGGTGCTTCGGTGGAGAAGGTTCTCAGGGATCTCAAGTTGTCGGGTTCTCGGGTGCGTTGCTCTCCACTTACGATCAATCTCGTTGCTTATGGGACCGCAGTCCACCTCATCGCTGCTGTCGTAGGGACAATCAATCCTTCCATTGCAGCGCATGGCCAGGGAGATGCAGGGTCCATTGTCGCACCTAAAGGTTGTCGGTGGACAGAGGATTCTCAGCGGGGTCAATGCCGTGGTGGTGCTGCTGGTGGTGGTTGTGGTGGTGCTAGAGGTGGTCGTGGGCCTGGCCGTATTCCCTTCGGCAGAATGATGACCTTATGAGGCAATTTTATTGGTTTTTCTGCTGCTTTACTCTTACATTAAGTTTCCCCAAAGGAATGGTGATGGCATGACAGAGTCTGGAGGTTGGAGATAACCCCCCCAAAAAAAAGGATAAAGGACTTACCGCAGTTGCGCTCGTCAGAGCTATCGCGACAGTCCGTAATGCCATTGCATCGCACCGCCGAACTGACGCACTGACCACTGTCACAGCGGAACTGGTTGGGCTGGCACTCCAGGGAGCCGGCGCAGTTGATCTCATCGGAGCCGTCGGAGCACTCGGGATAGCCATCGCACCGAGCCGATCCCTGGACACAGTCGCCGTTGTGGCAGCGGAACTGGTTGTCGGCACAGCCTGTAGGTGGGTCAAAAGTCAAGAGCTCAGATCAGTTCAAAGGACTCAAAGTAAGCACTAAAATTTCGCTGAAAAGTCTAAGGTCAATTTAGGTTTGGAATATACATATATATATCGAGAATATATATCTAGAAAAGGTTTAGGTAAACAAGTGCATAAAATGTTTGGAAGCATGCGGTTTTGTCGACTTAAAGCAAACTTAGGATAATAATTATAAATTCTATAAATACCAATAGAGGTACTAATTATATCGAAAAACCAAAAAAAGATCGATCTAGATAAAAAAGAAAAATTCGAATATAGCCTTAAATCATTAACCAATGCAGTTTTGCTCGTCGGAAAAGTCCCGGCAGTCGTAGAAGCCATCGCAGTGCTGCGTTTCGTTTATGCAAAACTGGCGATCGAAGCAGAGGAACTCGTGATCCTTGCACAGGATGCCAGTGCCTAAGGGTAAATACGATATTCGGGTTGTGTGTTTTGTGTGGTGCAGAAAACTCAAGTGAAATGCAAAAACCAAAGGAAAACCAACGAATATATTCACAAATTCAATTCAAAGCGCAGTGGATAGAGAGAGAGAAAGAGAGAGAGTGTGAGAAATGGAGAAAGAGAGAGAGATTAGCAAATGAAAAAGCACATACGATATTCATACGATATTCAGATGCAGTACGACATATGTTTATGTGCAAAATGTAATTGTGATCCAAATTGTGTTTAAATTAACCAATCGTGTGGCTTTACCTTTTCGTTTGACTTTAATTACTGTAAAGTACATATGGTTTCAGATACTAAAAAACGATATTCAAAAGTGCTATACAATTACAATATTCATATTCACTGACCAAAGACAATATATAGAATATGAACGCTAGCATACAAATTACTTTTGTTATGCCATTGACATGTATGTGCGTTACGCATCTTACTCTTTATATTGCCTTTGCACTGACTCTGTGGGTGCTGAAGAAGTTTTGTGCTCACGGATACAGACACTTAGAAAAAGGTGCTTTAAAAATTGATATAATAAGTAAGTAGGCGGACATTAATCGGCCGGAGACCGACCAACTTTCAAGTTTTAATGATATTACGATCACTGAATAGACGAGAGTGAGATGGATGGGAGAGCGCGATAAGATCAAGATTGAGTTGAAGATGAAGATGCTGGAGACGGGGACTTACAGTTGACCTCATCGGAGCCATCCTCGCAGTGACGCCGGCGGTCGCAGCGCTCGCTCTCCGAGTAACACTTGCCGCTGGAGCGGCACTGGTACTGCGGACATGTCAACGAGTTGGTTGGCGGACATGACGCCTCATCGGTTCCGTCGGCGCACTCCGCTCGGCCGTTGCACCGCACCGAGCGGTTGTAGCACGACTCGTCACAGAAGAACTGATCCGGGGCACAGTCGCTGGGCTTGAGTCGGTTGGTGGCTATATATTTATATATATATATATATATATATGGTCGGCATGCGATGTGTGTGTTTGGATGTTGAATGCGTGGTGTTGTGGTTTGCAGCAAGAAAGAGAGATAAGAAAGCGGTATGATTATGGTTATGCCTAGGCCATGAAGACAGCTTAAACTCTAGCACAGTCTCTCTTCATACGAACCTGCTTCCAAACGGAGTGGGACTTACTAGCTACTGTGCAAAATATCGTTATCGTTATCGTAAATATATCGAAAATGTGTATGAAATGGCGCTAGATCTGATTTTTGCATTAAACTTATTGTTTTTAACGTTTAAAAGTCTAAAATTCTCGTTGAAAAATACTAAAATGGCTTTAGATCCTAGACAAATGTGAGTTCTAACGCGTTTACCATCGAAGCAGGTCAGACCCTCATCGGATCCGTCGGCGCAATCATCGATCCCATTGCAGCGCAAATCGATATCAATACACTCGAGACTCGAGCAACGCCACTGATGGGACTGGCAGGGCCTGGGTCTTGGTATTGGAACTGGACTCGGTTTTGGAACAAGGACATTCATAGTGGTTGTGTCGTAGTGTCGGGTCCCTGTGGCTGAGTGTTGTTGTTGGTGTGTGTGGATGTGGCATGTGGCAAGGATGTTGGTTGTTTGGCGGTGATGTTGGTGTGTGGGGTTAACATAGAGATGAAACAAGACAAGACATAATCACGTTAGATAAACAAAGGCTGGGTTAGAGGCAGCGATAAAATCAAAGGATCAAAGTTGTGAAAACAGCAAAGCTTAGGGAAAATAAGGTTTTGAGATGAGCGGAATAAAAAATATATATGGTATATAGAAAATAAGTCAGTTCCTAAAGCTTTCAGTTTAGGTTTCAATAGTCAAAGTTTCAAGTTTATAAAAAGGATTCTTGAGAGAAAGTCTGAGACACGGAAAATGTATCATAAAAATATGGAAAAACAGGAGAACCTTAAGAGTTTCGAAATAGTTTCAAAGGATTACGAATTTCTGAATGGTTTTTGTTACCGCTACAATATTTCTCGTCATAGCCATCAAGGCAATCGATTTTGCCATCGCACTTTATTCTCCGATGAACGCAAGTGCCGTTGCAGGCCAGCTCATTTGGCAGACATAATTTCCTTTCTTGAAATTACAAAAACAAAATATACACATCGCTGTGATTAAGTACTCAAGGTCACAAGGGTAAATGGTACATTTCCTACTTAAGTTGTAAGTCCTAACTAAATCTAAGACCCATATAAAGCGAATTCAAAAGCAAAGCAAACCAACTACGAGTTATAGTCTAGGGTGGTGCTGGGATGGGATTTATTGGAGCAGGATCAGGATCGGTAGCAGTACCGATATCGGTATCGGTATCGGTATCAGTAACGGGTGCTTCTTACCGCAGTGACGTTCGTCGCTGCCATCGGCGCAGTCGGCTTTGCCGTTGCAACGCTGCGTGTCGGCAATGCATTCACCGGTGTTGCAACTTTCGATATGGCGATGTATATCGATATCGTGAGCGTATAGATGACGATAATGATGATGGTCATGATGATGATGATAATGTTGTTGTGGTTTGTGTGTGTCAATATGGTGTGTTGTTGTTGTTGTTGTTGGAGTAGGAGCCGTGACATGGAAGAGCAGAAATATGATTATGATATGATAGGGATAGGAAGTGATAGACTAGGATAGATTTCAACTATCAATTAAACATCCTATGATAAACTCGATAAATTTGGTTTTAATTTATTTAAAAAAAGTACTTTAAAAGATCAAACAAATTTTAAAAAATATATGCAATTCATTTCAATGAAGTCTTATTTGTAGGACAGACTCCTATATATGAACCTTAAACAATCATACATTTTTCAATAAAAACTTTACTTCAAGGCAAGGTTGCCCAAAATCAGGACTCACGAGTCAGGACCTTGGGCACCCCTGATGCAAAGATTAATTGATAGTTGATATAATGGAAGTTGTGTATATTTATGACTTTAATGAATATTATGACCCTGGGCATGGGCTTACAGGTAGGCATCGTCCCGGCAAAAGGTACAGTTGCGCTCGTCCCTGCCATCGTTGCAGTTGGCAATGCCATTGCATAGCTGATCTCGGGGCAAACAGTAGTCGTCGCACTCGAACTCGTTCTCTAGACAATGCTCTGCGAATGATGTGATCGGTGATCGGGTGAGATGAGGCTTGGGGTTGAGGGCGAGGGTGATATGGGTGTGGTTATCGCTAGTAGTAGGTGTTTTGTGGTAAGTAGCACCTGGAGCCTCAAAGGGGGGAGGGTGTTAGCTTAGGAGGGCGTATTTTTTACCTGTATAGGACTGACAATCGAGCTCATCCGTCTCGTCGTCACAGTCTATGTTGCCATCGCACTTCTTGTCGAGCGGCAGGCACTGACCGAAGTCACATTCAAACTCAAGGATTTCACATTCATTCAGCGGATTGTTTTCCGGGTCGGTGTCTGTGAGGGCGTATGTGTGTGTGTGTGTGTGTGTGTTTGAAAAGTTGGAGGAAAGATAAAAGAAAAATGTAATGTTTATAGCAGGGACAAGGACCCTTAGACAGATCGATAGGCGTATAGATAAAGATAGCGGCAGATGAACTTAAAACTTAAGATTTTCCCAAAGGAAATGCTAAAGAAAAAAATCGGATTTAAAGGGAAATTTCAAGGGGTTTTCTTTTTACAAATACATTTTTTTTAAATATTACCTATATATCTTTAATAATCTTTAATTAGGTATCAGAAAACCGCTTTTAAAGTTGCCTTTAAATTGTATATTTCTCTTGGCACTTTCTACGATCTATCTTTAGTTTTAAGTACAACTCGCGGGACACAGATCTAGACACAGATGGACAACTCGGGTCAGAGGTGGCTCAAGATGGTGGGACTACCGTAGTTGTCGTCGTAGGTAAACGGGCAGTTGTTCTCATCGGCGCCATCGTCGCAGTCGGTGATGCCGTTGCAGCGCTTATATCCGGAAATGCAGCTGCCGTCGCCGCATTGGTACTGATGGCTCAGGCACTCGACCCCCAGGCGGGTTCTATTGAACCGCCCATGGAGGTCTGCAGGATCAGGAATTTGGAGCGGGGATTACAGAGTCGGAGATAGTCGGGTTTCAGAGTAATCAGAGTATGGCAGAGTGTGTGGCAGAGTAGTGGCAGTAGAGTACGGGATAGATTTTTACACGGGTTTTTCAAATCCCCGGTGGGGCGAAGAGAGAACAAAACAGAGAGTACAGTTAGCAACAAAAGTCGATACGGGGGGTAGCAGCTTTTAGCTGTTAGAAATTAAGAGTGTAAATGGAGGAATTGTGGGTTGTGGCACTAGCAGTTAGCATTTTGTCCAATTAGCAAAGGCTACGCTTAAGCAGCTTCAACTTAACCTACGGTTAAAGCTTAATCGGTGAATTTAACCAAGGGTTTAATATAAGGGCGTAATTAGGGAAGGTGGCTCAACCAATTAACCTACGGTTAAGGCTTAGTAGATAAATTTAACCAAGGGTTGCAATCATGCAGTTTAACCGATCAACGATGCTCAAAACTTAACCTACGGTTATAATTTAACTGGCGAATTTTACCAAAAAAACTTGTTAGAAAGTGATAGAGAGAGAGCGAGTGATCTGGGGTGATAGGGTTGATAGAAGACTATAGCGAGTATGCTAGAGATGGTACTTACGGCAGGCGCTCTCGTCGCTGCGGTCACGACACTGCGGTTTGCCATCGCACACCTGGACCTTCGGTATGCAGCCGCCGCCGCGTTGGCATTTGTACTGAAGAAAGCATGAGAATGTGTGGGTTTTTTGTACAGGTGAGAGCGTAGGTGTGTGTAGTGGTGTGTGCGCCTATCTTAAGCTTATTGAAGGTTTGAGGTAATATTTATAGTACTAGTCCAAAATTAATCGAAAATGGTAAATAATAACCAAAAACTTGAAATTCGATTAATTATCGATTTCAAAAATTAAGACAAAATATGAGTTATAGAAAAATTAATTAATTATTTAAGGAATTTCCTTATGTAGCAAATAAAGTTACAATTTATCGTTTGTCTATGAATGTATCAATCAAGTTTATCGAGTATTTCGATACATAAATTAGCGAAAGTAATTAAAAATATACTTTAGATTTAAACAAATACGAAAAGTATCTATAATAATTGATGTTTAAAATATATAAATAATATTGCTACAGGAATATGATTACTTTCTCAGTTGGAAATTGCCTAGAAGCTCAGAATTCATTCTTTTTTTTTTGGATGAGCACTCTGTGTGTGTTTGTGTTTGTGGATGGAAAGTCTTTCGGATGGATGGGGATGGTGTCCTGGGCCAGGACTCACCTTGTCGCCGCTGCAGTTGCAGAGCGCATAGTCCTCGTCCTCCGCGTCGCCGCAGTCGGGGATGCCATCGCAGACGCTCTCAATCGTAATGCAATCGCGATTGTGGCACGCGAATTCAATGTTTTCGAGGCAGTTGCCCCCAATCCCCGCCGCCGATGAGGGAGACAGTGATGGGTTGCCTACGGTTTTATTTTTGTTTTGGTTTTGGTTTTTGGTGAATGATGATGGGTGACACAGCGGGACGGATGGATAATCGCAATGATAGTAAAACAAGCCATAAAAAAACGGAAAGAGAGAGAGAGAGCAGAGTGGGATATGTACAAGTGAACTGTATATGAGGCAAATCAATTAAAAGAGTATTTAAATAAAAGGCTTAACTAGGTAGCCAAGGCATATGTGTGTGTGTTTGTATCTGTATGTGTGTGTGTGGTTATGGCTAAAGTAGGTTTCTATGTTCCAAACATGGCATGCACTTTTACTTCCGCTTCCTCGTCCACTTCTTGACCCATCAACTAGTCAAAACTTAGAGTTAAAGGTACCCAATACCTGTGTCATCCATTCATGCCCACTAGTGTTTCACAATGCAACAAAATTGCCGCGGTTAGAGGGGAATACACAAAAAAGGAAATATTAAATAAAAAACGCATACAGCAAATGACTAACTACGACTTTTTGTGTCCATTTCCGGTTACAAAGCTCTTTATGGCGGATTTTTATGACACGAAAGTATAGTTTTTTAGAGCATTTATGCAACATAAGATTAAAAATTCGGTAAATTATCGATTAATATGAGTGATATTTTATAGCATTCGATAAATGATCGATTACGTTTATCCATATGATCCTTCATATGATTTCTAATGAACTTTGATTAATTTAAATAAAAATAGCCCTTGAAAATCTATAATTAATCGATATACTGTCGATCATGTTAGTCGAGTTTCTCGATAAAGTAATTATTTTCTTTAGATAACATTAAAAATTCTCCTTTTTACCCCGCACTTTTGTTGCAACAGAAACACCTTGTGGTTTAAATTATGGATTGGTTAATATTCAACCCTATTCCGGGATATATATGCTACTCTATTCTCCGATTATCGGAGTCACCTACTCGCTACGCCGACTGTTGTTATTGGGTTAGTGGTTGTTGGTGATGGCCTCGTTGGAGAGGGCTCTCGCCGAGGCGGTGCATCGGTGGTCGTGGTGGTTCTGGTTACGGTTCTTGGCGCTGATGTGGTTGTGGTGGTGCTGCTCTGCTCCAGCTGGCCTGGCGCTTGCCACGGCGACCACGTAGTGACCGTGATCGCGGGACGCCGGGTGGAGACTGCCGGACGGCGGTACTGTTCGCATCCCCGCTCGTCGCTCATGTCGTTGCAGTGATACGAGCCATCGCAGCGCAGATGGAGCGGGATGCACACATTGGTGGTGGTGCAGCGGAACTGGTTTTCCGCGCAGGGATTGTGGGAATTGGCCTTCTCGTAGACGTTGCTCGGCTGGTAGACCACCTGGTACTCGTACATGTCCTCCGCGTCCAGGCCGTTGCCCTTGGGTCGGCTGGTATGAGGCCGCGGTGGGCGATAGCCGCCCAAGGGAATGCCCACGGCATCCGTTGGCCCTTCTTCGTCATCGTCTAATCCCGAGCGACCGATCGATAGGTTTTGTTATCGGTGGAGGAGACATTACACGACACGATTACGTGACATAGGACAACCGCATGCAGACCATGGGCGGTGGGTTAAGGGGTTTTTTTTTTTCATTGATTATGTTCATGCAGTTTTTAGTTTTAGTTAAAAATTGGATCGTTATCGGTATCGATTGTTGTTGGGCCGAGTCCGTTGGTCCGTTGATGCAGGGTTGTTGTTGTTTCAGGTTGACGTGCAGTTAATCGATTAATTTTTGGGCATTCGATAACCACAACCAGGGGGGTTCGGGTTCGGATTCGGGTTTTTTTTTTTGGATTTTTTTTGAGGGGAAGGGAAAAGAAAAATAAAATGTATCGAGTTAAAATCAAAATCAAACAATCATCGATTGACACACAGACACACTGGGACAAAAGTTGGCTATCGCAAGAAAAGCGATTTCAGCGAGAAAAGCACAAACAAGACAGAGGCAGAGGACAAGAGAGAGAATACCAACACCAAATATCGATTTTAGTTACCCACGAAGATCGGCGAAAGCGTAACAGAGAAGAAGAGTCAGAGAGGACTCGCATTAAACTTGACACACTTAGGAAACTTATCGTATAGTTATCGACAGACGAACACGAAGCTCTTACCGCAGCTACCCTCATCGGAGTAATCGTTGCAATCGTAAATGTTATCGCACACCTGACGCATCGGTATGCACTCACCAGTCCCGCAACGGAACTCATCGAACCGACACTCATCCTCAATGGAGCCACCTGGCGACGACGACATCGATATAAATCGATAGCACCCGATTGTTAGTTATTGGCGGAGGTGATTTTTGTGATATACAAGTGATTTTTGGGTGACTCTGGGTGATTAAGTGATTGTGAAATGGTGCGCACTTACCTCTCTCGACACCCCAAGAGCAACTCTTTGCAGGATTTACTCACCCTCGCAGTAGCGCTCATCGGATATGTCCTCGGGACAATCGATGTTGCCATTGCAGAGCAGTTCCTTGGCTATGCAGGTGCCATCGTCACATTGCCATTTGTCGTACAGACAGGCTGCATTTCCATAAACAAAAGGGAAAAGCAAAAAACGGACAGAAAAAAGCACACAGACAAACGGAGAGAGAGGAGAGTTTTGACTAGTAATCGATTGTTTTGCTTATCGAACACCTACGACAGCCCTCCTCATCCGAACGATCGTGGGGGCAATCGGCCCGGCCATCGCAACGATGCACAATCGATATACAGCTTAGATCCCGGCAGGTGAACTTGCCCTTGGGGCATGTATAGCGCAGCTTGGGCACAACTGTACCGCCCAGAAAAGCAGCATGTATGGAGATTTGGATAATGGAGAGATACAGAGAATGAGAGTGGAGAGATGGCGTAATGGAGGGATTAATTAGAAGTGTGGCCAGGCTTTAGGAATGTTCTAAGATTTCTTTACAGTTTAAACAAGAGGCAACACTGAGCCAGCAACTTGGTAGAAGAATCTTTGTCTTGTTCTAATTCTTAGGGTTATTATTTATAGTTTCTTCTGCCACATTGCTTGGCCTTAAAAAGTTCCCAAGTGGATGAAGAATGTGACTAATGGACATGGAAATGTGACCAAGATGGCGGTTACTCACTTCCGGGGCAGTCCTCCTCGTCGTCGCCGTCGGCACAATCGGCATGGCCGTCGCACTGCTGACTCAGGCTCAAACAGTGCGTGCCCTCGCGACATTGGTACTCCATGTCGCTGCAGGCGGCGGCTGTTAATTAGTTAACCGGGGGTTAGTGTGGTCATGTGGTGGTTAGCATGGCGGTTAGCGTGGTTAAACGAGATATTTATACATAAAGAGAGAGAGAGAAAAAATGAGAGATACTTGGGGTTAGTCGGTAGGGGCGAACCGAAGGCGTTAGCGATTTCGGCACGTATCCTAATTCTTGGCTTAGAAAACTACGAAAGCGGCTTAAACATCTAGTTTTTAGACTAGTTTTAACGGCAGGGCTGTAAGCCCCGATTAGCACTGCATTAGGTACTATAATCTGGTTGTAAATTTCGGTTTTAACTAGCTTTTCTAGCTTCTAGCACTTACGGCACTCAGCATCCTCGTCCTCGCCGCCTTCGCAGTCCAGCGTGTAATCGCAACGCTTCCTGGAATCGATGCACTGGCCATTGTTGCAACGGAACTCGTTCGCTTGGCATTCTGCAAGGATACAAAAAAAGGGTTCAGGATTATGCTTTATGCCAGAATAAAAATTGAAATTGAAATTCTATGGCAATCTATTAATAGGAAGACGCTGCTGAAGTGTGAAATTCCAGACGAGAGACGAGCCAGGATGATTGGCTTTTCTGCCTGCAATTAGATGACAACCGGATGCAGTTTAACAAGGTCTTCCGCCCCCATGAAGCACTCTTCCGCCCCCCGCCCGACTGTCAACTTGAAAGCAAAAGTTTGTTAGGTGTGTGGGTGTGTGTATTATGTGTTTTTCTCTGTTGTGACAGACAGCAGGCAGACTCCACACCCTGTCCCACGTCCATTCGTTAGCCACAGTTTCCTGTGCATGCTCTCTCGCTCTCGTCCCTTTTTGAAACCTTTTTCCCCTCCCTCCCCCCGGTTAATATTTCATACAGCAAAAGGCAGCGCAACAACAACTCTTGAGCAATTTTACAAATATTTTTCGGATAATTCTTTCGCACAACACAAAGTGACACAACGCGGATTTGATTACAAGCAAAAGCAGCCAGCAGCAGGATATATAGGGATATAGATAACAAAGGACGCTGGAGAGGGGGGCAGGGCAGATGCTAATTAAAAGTAAAGAAAAGTTAAGTGAACATTAGGGCGGGAGCAGGAGCAGGGGGGCTAGGTGGAGTGGGGAGTGTCGTAATCAGAGCAGCTTAAAGTAAAAGCCAATTCGGGAGTAAACAATTAGCGGAGATTTTCAGGGGATACTTTACACTGCAGAAAGTTTGTATTTAAATATTTTAAATATATATTTTTGTATATTTTACATTATATATATTTTGTGATTTAAAAGCTATAAGTGGTGTTCTAGAAATTTAATAAAAAAGAAATACCTAGAAAACTTGGGAATCATAAAAGCTTGTTGATGTTTTTTTTAAAAACTAAAAACTGTAAACTTGAGCTAAGAAATTTTTGAATAATTCAGAAAGGCACAAATTTTAATTAATTAATTAAGAAAAAAGCAACAATCCTAAAAAAGTAAAGATAAAGTAAAAAAAAATTTTAATATATGGTAAATTCGGAAAGCATTTCTAGACTAGTTTTTATAGAGGCAACTTTTAAAGATAACTTTATTAAAATAATTTTTGGGGGGAAAAATCTATAACTAAGCCAAATTGCTTTGTAAGCTCTTGAATTAAATTAGAATACTTTAAAAAGGTTATAAAAATCATAATTCGATTTTTGAAAAAGAAAGAAAATTTTAAAATAAATAAAATACCCAAACCTTATTCAAGAATTTTTTAGAAATTTATACAACAGAAATTAAGGTAATTTTAAGACTTAAGTTTGGAATTAGGTTTACCTTTAAAAGTATTAAACAGAGCCTTAAAATTTTTCATTAAACTAGCTAACAAATAAATAAAAATAAAAAATTAATAAATAAAAAATAAATTCAAAAAATACTTTAATGCTCTGTTCACTTGAGAAATATATTAAATTAAGACATCAAATTATATAAATAATAAAAACAATCATCAAATTGAAAGCCTTAATTACCCCTTCAAATCCTAAAAGAAAGCGTTGCTTGTATCTAAAAAACAATTAAAATTGAGAAAATCTTCTTCCTTCTTCTATTTATTATTTGTTTTTTTTTTTTTGAGGCCATTGGCCGTGGCAAGTCAACAATTTGTCATCGGTAGTCGGCAGTCAGGTGAAATGTGGCAGTTAATGTTGGCCGTAACCGAAACTGCCGCGAAACTGCAGTAACTTTTCGCCCAAAAAGTTTAGCCTCATACCTCCCGCCCCCCACCACGCTTTTCTTTTTTGCTTTTCGGCAATTTTCAACACGAAGGCGAGGAATTTGCTGGCAACAATTTGACAATTTCATTGCGGACAGACAGAAGGAGTCCAAAAGGACTCGGCAGGGAGAGGGGAAAAGGGAAAGCAAAGCCCAGGCAAAGGCGCCTCAAGTCAATTTGCAAAAGAAGGCAAATATTTTTTGTTTTTTGTTTGTTTTTATTCTGTTTTTTATTTCACCTGCCGCTTATTGACATTAAACATTCAAAATAGTGAGGGGCTTGGAGGAACAGGAGTTACAAAAAGGCAGACAGCACATAAAGGATTTCGGCTGCCAAAGGATGTTGGACTCCAATTACGTGGCCGGCAGACGTGTGATCCTAATCCGTTTGACGGCCTTCCCGCACAAACAACGGATTATAATCATCCGCAAGTCGGAAAACAAGTTTTTCCCCGCCCTCATGATTTTCTTGATAAAGGTGGGCGCAGGTGGAAAGGGGTTGGATTGTGAATATATTTTTTTTAGTTTTCTAAGGCTTTCTTTATGGTTTTTTATATATTTTCTTAAGTTTTTAATAGTTTTTAAAATTATTTTTTAAAGAAATCTTTGCATTTTCAAGAGCTTCCCAGTTATGAAACTTGTATTATATTATAGAATCTTACTTTAACTATTTTCTCAATTGATAATAATACCTAAGAATAGCCTGGATATTTTATATATTTTACTGCTTTCTTCCTGGACTGTTGCACTTTGTTTTCTTTCTTCTTCTGACGAGTGTCAAATGAAAATTCTCGCTGCCTGAAATGGGATCAGTTTTTGCCCCTTGCACTTGAACTTAAAGCCAGGTAGCGCACAAACACAAAAAAAAAGAGGGAAAACTGGGCGAAAAAGAGAAGGATGTAAGGCTGGGAAGACTGGGAAATGCTGGCAAGACGAGTCGTGGTCCAAAAGGAGGGGTAAATTCGAGTCGATAATTGATATGCGGCGCCTGGAAAACGCAAAAGCGCCAACAAAACAGTCCAAAGAGCCGCAAACAAACAGGTTAAAAGAAGGTAGGGGGGGGGGCAGTTCCCTTCTTTTTTTCTATCATGCGCTACATTTTTCACCACTTTGCATCAAAATTGCGACGAGGCGAAAATCAGTTTAAGAGCAATTTGCCATCAGCGCGCATAGATGGTGAATAAAAAGTATTTTTGATTTGATTATTGCTCGTTAGCGTTTAGCGCTTAGCGTCTTTGCCATCGAATCATTAACTCGCTTTATGCGTGGCAGCAAAGTGCTTCTACAACCCCCAAGAAATATATATACATATATTTAAAATAAATATATATAATGGGGAAATGCTGAAGCTTAAAGCCAGGCCAAGAGTCCTTGCCATGCAAAATGGTTATTACCCTTGAACCTCTTAATTACGACAAACGGAAAACTATCAGCGATAAAAATTCAGTTGGGTTTTATGTCTATGACTAATCGATTTCCGAGTTGTTCTTCTTTTTTTTTCCTGGGCTAACGGAAAAGGGTTTCAGCCGGAAAAGCCACAAGCTATGACAGCGGAGATGCAGATCTGGCTTACATGGCGTATGCGTGATGTCACATATGCGTAATTGCCAGGAAAATGGAGTGCCTGAATGCCGGAAAACAGGGGGAAATGACATAGACATGGGCCTAATTAGGCTATTAAGTTATAACTGGTTATTAATTGAGTATAAAAACTATCATTTTGGTTTTGAAATTGTAAAAAATTAAGCAAAAACTATACAAATTTAGGGGATTTCTAGTAAATAAAATATATTTTTAAATTTTAGTTCTTTTTTCAAACCAAACTATAATCCGATATTAAGTCTCCCCGTCGTTATTGGGCTTAACCCTTGGCAGGCCCTGTGCCTGAAATGCATGTCAAGTGGCTGGGGAGACAGAGGATGCTTGATTGATAGCTTGATTCATATTCATATTCGAGACTCACATGGCTTGGCTGTTTTTTTTATTTTTTTTTTCGGCTATGCAAACACACTGCCAAACCGGTCGACGTCAAAATGGCAGCTTAACACGAAGCTCATGAATATGCACACATCGAGCGGTGGCATCCCTTAACCTCTTGCTGCAGCGCGTTATTTAATGAGTCATTAGCTGGAGGGGGGGTTTAAGGGGTTAAGGGGTCGCGGGTCGAAGCCCCTAGGCTGGGAGGTCGCAAAGGTTGCCCGCGAGTGTTTAGTTACGGTTGCAGTTCGCCAGAAAGCGAAGAAAGAGCAGGGAATCCGTGTCAAAAACCAGTGACAGTTGTCAGTGGATGCACTGGGAGAAAATGTTTAATGGATTTTTTAAATTGACAACAATTTTAAAATTTTTTTACATTTAAAAAAAATGTTTAACAAAAACATTTGTATTATTAATTTAATTTAAATATAGATTAAATATTAATACAAAATTTAAATAAGGTATAATAGTTTTACTAATAATTTTGTAATATAAATTTAAATTTAATGTAGATATATATTTAATATTAATACAAAAATTAGTTTACTAATAATTTTGCTAAATTTTAATTCAATTTAAATATAGTAGATTTTTTTAATTAAAAATGTATTTAAAATATAATAGGTTTACCAAATTTTTAATTAATATTTCATTAGTAAAATTATAATAATTTTCCAAATAATTTAGTACTATTATAAGTTATAATATATTTCAATTAATTTTTAATTAATATTTAATCAATATTTAAATTTAATTTACTTTATGATAAAAATCAATTAAGAATTCAAAGCAATTTTAAGCCACGAAAAAATATTATTTATTCTCATTTTTATAAACACAATACCAAAGAATTGTTGACTAATTTTCAGGGTTGACACTTTCACAGTTCTCCGTGTGACAAGGGGCTTTCCAAAAAGGGGGGTCTTCCCTGCAACAGCTACTGTTGCTACTGTTGCTGCTGCTGTTGCTGCTGCGGAAAGGGGCGACAATTATGTGGCGTCTGCAGTTTTAAGTGCGCCTTTGCATGTGACTCTGTTTGCTCAAGCTCAAGCAGCTCGCTCAGCTATGTAGTTCCACTCACCACCCACTTTCCCACCCCCCCATTTGTCGCTTCTTCAATCTATCCCACATTTCACTTATTCATTTTCATTTCGGGCACCGTAAACACACAATGAAAATGTCGCATAAATAAAACGCAAAACAAAAACAATCGCCGACGACAACTTGTTGGCCAAAAAAAAAAAAA